ATATCCAACCGAGTCAAGGATATGTTGGATATTCGGCATATCCAACATATCCAGACAAAGTGGACTGTTCAGCACTGTTCAGTTAGGATCGGACTTGTATATAAGGATGGACTCGAGCTGGGCTCTAGGACAGACTTTCCATAGCTTCTTCAGCAATTAACTTCGTATCAGGATTAACATCCGCTTTCAGCTACTACCTTGACAAGACTACGATTGATCACCGAAGCCTTACCTACCCTTACGATTGACAGACATAGCTTCCCTGAAGCTATCCCCGACTACGATTACTGTTACCAGTTCCGCAGCCTCAACTTCTGCAAACTACCCCTACGACTAGCTGGCCGTAACATACTAGTCGTTTATCCCATATTTAAAAAACCCGAAAGTTAATATACGAGCGTTAGACTAAACCCTTTTATTAAGGGATATAAGAAGTAAACGAATCCGACACTCTAGAGTTTATATTAAATGCTTATAAGTATAGGATAGTGAAAGAATTATAGTTTATATAGGTTTCTAACAATATAGACTAGTCTACTTTTAAAATTAGCGATGAGTTTATATCCTTAGGGCCGTTAGTCCTATCCTCCGGTAATCCTTAAGGAGTTGTCGGGAGTTCTAAAGGTTCGTAATAGGTTCCTATATATTTTTCCTTATATCTATAGTTTTTCTATTTAATTAGGAATTCTCATGTTTCGTTCCTAACTCTATAATCGATAATTCGTTTGACTTTATACTCTAGTTAGTTTAATTTTATAACGATATAATCGTTCGTATATAAGCCTCGTAGTACTAGCTTAAATAATAAAATATAGAATATTGGGTAATATTTTATTATATCTAGAAGTCTTAGTTCGTAATTAATTAGTGAGACTCTTTTAATAATCTCGAAAGGTCTAAATTTTTTATAATCTAACTTATTACTTAGTCGTTTCGTTCTAATATTTCTATGAAGGAGATAGGCGCTATCCCCCTCTTTTAAAGTTAGTCCTTTAACCTTTATTTTATCGGTATTCTTTTTTATATATTATCGTATAAACTCGAGGTCCTAAGAGGCTTTCTTTTAGAATTCTTTAAATTTAGTTATATTGGCTATGGCTTTTACGGCCTATAGTCCCTATCGTACTTTTTTATACGCTATTAGTTAGAATTCGTAGTTTAGGTAGAACGGGGATTCTTTTATATTTTTGTTAACTATGCTATTATATATAAACTAGGCCATTAGTAATAATAAAACTTAATTATTCTAGTTGTAGTTTATATAATAATAAAGGTATATTTCGAGGATTTAATTAATCATTTCCATTTATCTATCGGTCTACGGGTAGAAAGAAGTTAATAGTTTATAGTCTATACCGAGTTACGAGATTAGAGATCTCTAAAACTTAGTAGTAAACAGCTTATCTCTATTAGAAATAATTTCCTTAAGTAGACCGTAATTAATAATAATAGTTTTAAAGAAGATATATATGTTAGAAAGGTAAATCTTTTACCTTAGTATTTGCCTTATTATTCATATTACGTAAGCATATTATATATCATATTAATCTATAAGAGCTATAGATTAATATAGATATTGATTACGTAAGCAAGATTGGTTATTTAAGCTTACGTGAGCGAAAGAAGGCACTGGAAGGTAATAGAATGCACTGGAATTTACTTGAAAGGTATTACGTATCACGATTACGCATTCACTTACGTATATGCTTATTAATTATGATATAATTAATAAGCAATGGAATATTCTAGTCGGAGGATCTTATGCCTATATAAAGGCATCTTTTTACCTACTTAGACCTTTCGTTAAGCAAGCAACTTCTCATATAGTAATCTAACTATATACTCTCTTTACATTTATCAACCTCTTTTATATACGCTTAACTACCCCTATATTTATATATTTTTGCTTCTATATGAATATTCACCATTTAATACTCTTGTATAAGAGTCTTATCACTTACCTCTTAAAGCTATGGTGCCAAAATATATTAATTCCTTTATATTACTTACTTCTTTATAAGGTACGAAGTAGGCGAACTTAATAAGTCGATCGATAATAATTAATATGCTATTATATAATTTATTCGTAAGTAGTTTTTTAGACTTTAGTAGTTTAATAATAAAGTTCCATAAGATTAAGTACTATACTTTAGGTGGTATTAAGAGTGGCTATAGCTCTCTATAGGGCTTATAAGGGCTGTTCTTACTCTTTTTATAGATATTATAATTCTTAATTACTTTAGTAATTTCTATTTGTGTGGCGGATTTATTATAATATTATCGAATTCGTTTTTATATTTTTATAATACCTTAGTGACCGTATGCCTTAATATTATAAATTTTTATAATAAGCTTAGGTGTCACAGACCCGCTGTCCTAGACCCCAACCTTGAGGTTGGTGTTGAGTAACCCGGTGGCCGGGTTACGTAAGCCTGAGGCTGGATAAAACTCTGCATCCTGTATTCTGTCGCGCATGTCCAGAAACGTAGCTCCTTGAGCTACGTCTTGTCAACAGAGCCTGTACCTGCTTAGGATAGAGCCTGCCCGTAGCAATAGATTGTCTGATCCGCCTGCCCAGCATCCACCTGCCAAACAACCTGCCTGCTACCGTGACATTAGGGGTTATTCTTTTAATCGGGCTAGTATTAACCTTCCCAGCTATTATAAGGAGTTTTGTAGTAAGTATAAGATTATTATTATTATTATATTTAAGGATAACTTATATTTCTTTAGAGACTTTAACTTTATAGTTAGGTCTTTTACTAAGAGCTTCGGCTCTACTATTTTCTAAATTCTTTTTATAAATAATTTAAAAGTTAAATTTAAAGAGGAATTTATTATATCTAACTTATTATTTATTTAGGTTTTTATTTATTATAAAGTTCGTAAGATTTTTATAATCTATATAGACCGTAATTATATATTTAGTTTTTAAAAATTATAGCTTTTATTTTTAAAAGGCTTTAATTATAGCACTAAGAGGTTAGAGGTAGGCAAAAAGGGAAAAGGTAAATAAGTTGAGGTACGAGTTGAGATAATCAGAGAATCGATTGTATTGATGGTTATTCTATGATATGGTAGGAAAGTGTAGTCTATATATAATACAAATATCACATGTAATCACATGTGGTGCTTAAGTCCGAGCATTTATTATTAAGTTTATACGGGCATATGTGCCTGCCGGCGCTTTATCATGTATATGTAAAGCGTATTTACGTTCGGGCTGTACGCGCGTACAAAGCGTTGTATCTGAGTAGATACGTACTTTGGTTGAGTGTTACGAGCAGGTCAAGGCAACCAACTGTGGCACAAAGCAAAAGCTTTGATAATGATGACTCCGTATCATTTTCCCTTGTTCTGCGTTATGTGGCTACGCGCTCACAGTGACAAGTTGCGGCGGGCGTAACATTGAGCCTCTTACTACCATGTAACTTCTTAAGTACGTAGCTCTTATAGTACTAATCAAGTATAAGTTTTAGAATTTTTAGTAAATATTTTAGTTAAGTCATAGTATAATAATAATATTAGCGGCGCCTTAGAGCGTTTTAACTCTCTTGCTAAGATAGTCTACTTCCTAGGTTTTATTCTCGAGGTATTTAATAATATTATTAAGTATTTATTATATTATAATAATATCGGAGTCGTTCTTTTTAATCTTTCTCTATAGGCCCTTATAGACCTTATAAGTAAAGCTAAGTTCTTCTTTCGAGTCTTCGGCGTTCTTTATTTCTTTATCTAGGGTTTTAATAAGCATAGGGGCCTTACCCTTAAAGTTGTTAAAAGAGGTGGACGGGGTTACTTTAAAAGACATCGTCGTTCTTACTATTAGTAGTTTCGTAAAGTTAACTTATTAAATAAGAGCAATTAAAGTATTATAGCCAGCTAGTTATAATGAGGTATATTTATATAACTTAAGGCTATAGAACTAATAATAGTATTCGTAGTCGGGAATAGCTTTAAAGAAGCTATATTTATAAGTTATAAGGTAAGGGAAGACTTCGGTAATTAATTATAATCTTATTAAGAGATTCTTAAGGAAGATAGCTAAAAGCGATTATAAGATCTAATACGAAGTTAATTACTAAAGAAGCTATGGAAAGTCTATCCTAAAGTCCAGCTCAAGTCCATCCTATATATATAAGTCCTGTTTCTAAGTATATCCTTTGCTTAATTACCATGCCTATTAGTAATCACTAAGTAGATACTAGTAAGCGCTCACTTTGCATAATCATAGTAATTACCTTATCGTATGCTTACTTTCCTTATCGTCACGTAACTTATTCTATAATTCTTCCGTTCCGTAAGGAGTCGCCTAAGTTCCTAGGTTCCATATATATCTAGTAGATAGCCGCCGTAGGCCTACGGGGCGGGCCCCTGGCTTCGTTATACATATTGGGTCGTAACACCTTGATTCTCATGGCATTATACTGTCCTAGCCGCTGTGAGCCTGTGGGGCGGGCCCTAGTCTAGTTATGCACGTTAGATTGTAATATCAAGCTCAGGTTATATTATATATATGTCCAAATAGTGCCCTTTGTAATTGTCTTGTTACTGCTCTTATTCTTGACGTAGTCCGTCGTTTATTCATACGGCACCCGTATGTGTCGAACAAGGCAGAGGATATTTAGCCTCCCGGCCAGATAGCTGGCCTCTCGGGCTGGGAACAAGAAAAACGGAGGTGGCCCTGTTACTGAACGGCGCGCCCGAACGGAGGAGAATTTGGGCCCGCACTTCCGCTTTTACGGATGAGTCAACGTCCCAGCCTTCTTCTGATAGGCCGGCCCTCATTGGCTTATCTATGGGAGAGCGGACGGGATCCCGAGTTTTCCAATGGGTATAGTCGTATGTGCTAGACGGGCACAAGCAGGCAGACCAAGTAAGTCTGTGATGAGAAGCATCGTTAGTCCAGCTTGAAGCTGTTGATCGGTCCAACTACCCATATCCAAATCTCAAAAGACCATCGAGAAGTCTCGAACGGTAGGAAGGCCCCACCCAACCCTGTCAACGGCGAAAACGGAGGAAGAAACGGTCTCGGAGGGGAACACCCAAATCCTGACTCCGTTGGTTGACGACCGGCCGGCACACACACATATACACTTCACCGGATTTATCGGCTCTCGCTCCTCGCCCCCCGGGGTTGGATAATTGTGCCAACCAGAGGAACGTCCTCCAAGGATACTGGCCTTCCGCCTGACAAATCGTATGCCAACCCTTAGAGCCGGGGAAAAGGGCTGCCACCTCCGCCACCACCACACACACCACCATCTTCGGAACCCAAGCGGCGGTTGGTTGATGGTGGTATCCGGTTGTCTCGGTGCCCTGCCCGGAGCAAAAGCATCGGGCGAATCGGATAGGCTACATGCCAAATATCGCGAGATCTTGCATCTTCTTTGACAGCCACTGCCCCAACCAACCACATGAGCGATGTGGGAAAGGAAAGCGTAGCATTTGGGATTCTGCTTGTCTCCATCAAAAAGGTAGGCGAGGCCGCGAGAGAGGGAGAGGTGGCAGGGGAGGAACCACACGAAGAATCTGCTCTGTTTCCCACCAGCTCTGCTGGCCCCGGGTTGGACGGCAACAACCGAACGAGTGACCGGTACCCTTGTCGTAGGTATGGAACACCACAGAATAACTTTCCTCTCCAACCCTTCAAAGGCGTCATCTTTGGACGGAACGGTCTATCAGACTGCAACGTTGACGAGGGGAACTGTCAGAATCCCCTCCTTCTGCGGCGCCCGGTCAATCGAAGAAGGGGGGCGTATCAGATGACAGTCTCGCAATTTGAAAATAGAAAAAACATAGGTGATTCGAAAGCCCTGGATGTGTGCCACAGCATCACGCTGAGCTGAGCGTCTTACTTTGCTGGCTCGGGCTCGAGCTGTTCGAGGTCGGTCTCCTGCATGAGGAATGCCTGGCCCATCCCAGAGTGAGCGACGCGGCCTGTTCTTAGAACGAAGCATGAAGTGGATGGCGAATATAGGGATTACGGCCGTTCGTACCCTCATATCCCCAATACCAAGGCCAGCTGCAAATGTGCTCGTTGGCTAGCGTGCGCGCAGAGAGGCGTTTTCCTCGAGCCGCAACCCACTAGTAGACTGCAGACAGGCACAAGTGCTGGGAAGAATGCCTCCCAATCCAATCGCAACGCTTGAAGCCACGTCCCCCTCACCTGCAAGCCGCAAGCACTGTCTGATCTGACCAAGTATCGGCAATCGGCTCCCTTCCTGAGAACCAATGGCGGCATTTTGGGGCAAGGCTAGGCGGGAAACGCCTGGAGACGACGGGACGTGCTGCAAACATCACCCGTCTCGGCATATGAAGCTCTTGTAAGGTCAGTGCAGGCCCCTTTCCTTACCTGACGTCCCATAGCTTTGTCGCCTCAAGGCGACCACGTTCCCTTAGAGCGTTAGGCCATCCCAGGTCGACCTGGTCTGAACATCGGTAGTGCTAACATCTGAGGGGAAGTGCTCGGAACCCTCCCGCGCCAGCCTTGTTTCAACGACGCCCTATCAAAGAGAAGCAGCGACGACGTTCACCAGGCATAGCAGACGACGAGCTGGCCCGATGGAGTTCAACGCCTTTTGCCCGCTTGGACCAGCGGCTGCCAGGAATCAGGAGCCAGGTGCAGGTAGCAAGATGCAGGACGCAGGAGGAGCAGCGTACGTGTTCGATCACGACGCCGCGGGCGGTCGTCCTGAATCAAGTCCATCATGGCAATCATGACCATGCCTGGTATGTGCGTCTGCGGGAAAGCGGGTTCGTTGTTTCGATGGATAGCCGTTTGCCTGAGGAAACTAATCATTGATAACTAGATGCGTCTGTATTAGCTTGTTCACAAAAGACATCGTGAGAGCAAGGAGTGAAGACCTAACAAAGTCTCCATAGAGGCGGTTGGTGAATGAGGGGATTGGTGAAGAAAGTCGTCAAGGGCTGGTAGGCCAGGATGCAACGTGGGAAAAACCTAGTGCGGGCTTTGCAGGGAACCGTACAAGGGTTCGACGGACCACTCGCATCTCTGGATTCTTTGGGCGGAGATCAGACGATGCGGCTGATGGAACAGAGATCGACCGCCCCTCCAGCTTGAGCTAGTGTAGTTGCCCACCGTCCACTGGCTCTAGCCTATGTGCGTCGACCATGGATGGCGTCCTGTTTGTTCTGGAAGAACGACACGTTGAAGCGCACCTAGTCTCTCGGACTGGGGGAGTCTGAGAGTGGGTGACATTGACAAGCCCACTTGATATCGTTGTAGGCGGGCCTGAATTAGAGTTCGCAACTATGTTCGGGAATTAAGGCCTCCAGCCATGATTTGCCGCCGAAGAAGGGGTTTTTGAATTTGGATTCTTGGAATGATGGACGTGGATATGGCTACCTGCCATCTGGTAACTACACCGATGTGAATGTCGGACCGTCTGTGGTTCCTTGTTGGAGGCGGGTCGTGAAGGATGGAAAACCAATGTTACGAGACAATGTGATATGACCAGCCGCGGGCCGGAACGGCATTGCTGATCAGTGCAGGTACCTAGGGCAGGCGCAGGCAGTCGCAGGCAGTCGCAGGCAGTCGATGGTCTCACCCAAGTGCTATGACAGGCGCAGTCGACGACAGTTTCGAGTGTGATTGATTCACCGACTCGTTGGCTACATGACAAGCGTGAGTGACTGATCATGTATTCCTTCCCTTGGATGATGAAAGAAAGAGCACTAGGTATGCAGGATGCAATTGCTCACCTTTTGGCAGGTCTAGTTTGGTGTGTGGTTGGGCAGGTGGCGGGGCTAATTCACCTAAACGGCATGGGAGCCGCTGCCCGTCATGCACGTCGAATGCGGCCGGTCAACGTTTTCTTGGTACCGACGTCGCGACTCGAGCCCAATGCGGTTCGCTCGTCGACGTATGCATGCATATGTACATTTATCCGCACATGAATAGTGCGGCACGTAGCGATGCTCTGCAGTGCAGCCAGGCGCCTCTGTATCGCAGCATATTTGACGCGGCATGTTCTGACATCTGCCCTCTTGTGACGTGTATATCGGTGGTTTGCTGCTGAACGGCACACACACACACACACACACACACACACACACACACAATGTCCCGTACTATGCGCATTTCAATTGCATCACGTTGTACGGGCGTAACGGGCCATGTTCGAAGCTGTTGCGACTTGCGGATAACGAAGGACATGTACGGGTTTCTGGTGAGTCTACTGTGTAGGGAGTCGCGCCGCATCGACGCATCAAATATGCAGCAACGGTGCAGAATCGGAGCGGTGACCATCAGGTAAGCTAGACGAGAAATTAACCAGAACCAAATCGAACAAGAAAAAAGAAAAAAGAAAAATTCAAGCACAATATCTGAGCGTGCCGGATTCAGTGCAGCGCAGCAGATCCGGGGGTCCCTGTTCGACAACGGACGCGGACAGGGAGTTGGATGGAAAACCAGACGAGCAAATCGCATCCATTTGCTGGCCAGCAGCCCGGATAATGGAATATGGCCGATTACAGAGTCCCCTCTGGTTTATGGGTCTCTCGGTTGGTTCGTCAGAGTCGTGTGGAGCACTGAGAGACGTTCAGTCCAAGTTCCCAACTCTCCAACCTGAAGTCTCCAATCCAATCCAGTCTCATCCCAATCCCAAACGACTTTGGGGGCTGAGAGTCGCAGGGTGCACGGAGGTTGTCGAACAGGGGCTCCTAGCTTGACGGCGGGAATCTGAGCGTCACAGTTCAAAGGGTTCACCTTCAGTTGTGAGTGCAAAAGTCTGAAGAAGGTTGAGACCGTTGGCTTGACATAGGCAGTCTTAAGCCTAAAAGTCAGCTTTGTTTATCGTCGTCTTTCGCTACCGATTGGATCCTGAGATTGAAGCTTGTGGTGAGCCCCTGCAGTGTTTGCCTCGCCGCCAAGTCTGTCTCCCGCGCCCAGCTGCACGTCTGTTCCGGCGCGGTTCGCGATTGGATTGTGAGCTGGTTGACAGGTGCAGCAAGTGTGTGGATGAGATTGACTCGAGTAAGTATCAAGCTCTGCTCACTAGCATGACATGCCATCGAATTCCATGCCCAGGAAGCCGATTCAAGGACGGATATCCGTACTGATACCCGAGAACGAGTCTGACTTTGCCGGCGGGATCCGAGTAAGACGGCTACAGGCTGCGAAAAGCCGACAACGGCGGCTCATCTCGACAAAATTTGGACTTATCTCAGGCCCCGGGGGAGAGTCGCATGCGCGGTTGGATGTCTCCTGGCCTGGCTAAAAAATAAGACAGGGACAGGTGGTGAAAGTAACCGGGCGTCGTCTCTGGAACCTCAACGCAGCAGCGTATCTCGGCAACTGTCAAGCTGATCTCATTTCGCGTCATCCGAAGCCGTGACAGCTGGGTGGTTGGGAGTGAAGGACGAGAGAGAACGTTGTTCAAGTCCCTACTCCATAGTTGGAGAAAGTTTAGGGCAGCCAGCCACGATGGGTTTCTCCATTATCCATGTGCCAACACGTTCCGAACGGTAAGTTCCATTGCTTGCCAGTTCTTCGGGACCGTGGGAAATGACGATGAGATGGGTAGGCGCAGCAGGGTAACATTGTCTGCAAAAAGTTGGGATCCATTTCCCGCACGAGAGCGAGAGTCGACCAGGCTCAAGGGATGTGAGTGTGACTGTGACTGTGTAGAGTGGTCCATAGTGTATCCGTACTGTCTGGCTCGATCCACGTCCATCAAACCACAACCCAGGTTCCATTATGCTGGGAACCTAAGTGGTGGGGGAGCGGTACTGTGCTGCATCTGGGATCGTGGTTCCATCCGGAGGGAAAAAGCGGAAGATTTCTTGTCTTGACGAGAGACGGGAGGAGACGACAGTCCCAACGACAGGGAAGCGGTGCCTTTCGGGTTAGAGGAGCGAGTGGAGTGGGAAGACCCGTGTGTGGTCCCGCTGGATGCTGGTGCTGTATATCCGTACGAAGTGCGGTTCTCGGTAAGGTATGCTCTTGTTCAGAATTTATGTCGCGTATTGTGTATCTGCCACCAGGACAGGCGGGAAATGGGCGCAATGCATGGGACATATGCAGAATTTGAGGTATGGAAAGAACTCAAGGTGAAGAGGCAGGTACACAACACAGCGAGGCACATCCTTCAGGCAGGGCAGGCACGTATTTTGCGGAGTACCTATGTACTTATCGGATAACTGTCTGTATGCATCTAGACGGCAGCGATCTTCGGTTTACTTCAACCCCCGCATTGACCAGGGGGCCCTCTTCTAGACCCTCCTGGGATCCTCCCATGTTGCTTGAATCTGCGTTTCCCTTTTGGGACATTCTTGCGAAACGTCCCTTGACCTCCTCTTTCTCTCCTCATCCCATCCACGTCCCTTTCCTCACACTTCTCACCTCACCTTGTATCTCGCTCATTACACCTGTCCTGTCTTCAACTTTTCTCTCACAAACCAAACGAACGCCGTGACAGCTTTTCTCAGACAGGACATGCAACTTGTACCCTCTCGAGTTTCTACTAGCTCCATTCCACCAATTCAAGCCCCCCCCCCCGTCCCATGATCCATCTTGGTCTCCTCCTTCTCTGGAGTCTGACCTACACGGCCTCCCCCGAGTCCTTTCTTACCTGCCCCTTTCTCTGTTGCCATGTCGTTCATATCTCTCCCCTGCACTTGTACCCAAGGTACAAGGGGCCCTCGTCTCTGGGCGGATCAACTGAATTGAAACATGTTCTATTATCCACTCAGTCTTCTTTCTGCCCGGGGCCCTCAGGATTGACTATCCAATCCTTACCTGCTTCCCTTCCGCGCTGCTAGTAATCGCAGCAGGTACCTTACCCTCGCCTTCGTGGCTTGACACACGCAAGTGTCTCCAAAAGGTAGCTCTGTGAGTGTGGGTGTGAGGTGTGAGGTGTGTGCCAGGTACTCGCGCGAGTATTCTCCTTCCAGCTTGTCTCTCTGCTTTCCTCAGTCAGCTGGAGCTGTTACGGATGGTAGTTGATACAATGGCTGGCCTGTCTCAGCTTTCCTTTCCAAACCTGTCCCGTCCTGTTTTGGCGCTTCGAATGTTAGCCTTGAAAAGTCTCTTCCCTCCACCCTTCTAGTCTGTCCTTCCCCATCCCTCATCCGCTCTTCTTCCCGTGCCCTTGGCCTTATCCTGTTTAATCATTGCCTGGGCGTCTCTCGTTCTTATTTTTATTCTTGTCTGCCCATTTCCCCATTTATCATCTACTTGGCCCGGGGGGCTACTAGTATTATCTCACTTTGCCCTTGCCTTGCTTTGCCCTGCTGTCAGCATCATATCTGAGTTGACCGGTCCGCGTCGGGCCAATATTGCGGCTCCATTCTCGTGGGTTTCCCCCATACTATTTCAAAGCCAAGGTACATTGTACCGTACGTACACCTCGACACATCGGCCCCATACACGCACATACGGATACCCATACACATACATACACATTTACACATGCGTACATACGTACCAAGCAAGCATCCTTCTGCACCTCACCTTGTCTTCGTCTTGCAGACGGCTTCTGCGAGTTAATGTAGATGGCCCCCCGTTGACCCCATCGAATCCCCATCCAGCCCATCCCGGCCCTCGATCCGACCACTCTCCTCCACGGGTACCTCCTCATCTTCACTACGCCATCTCCTCCTCGTTGTCGGCGTTCCTCTAGTCGCTTCCGTTCCGCAGTCGCCACACGGCTAGCTAGCTGCTGCTGGCTTACTTTGGGTCATCTAACTGTACCCGCTCGTGACATTGTCCGCATACAGATTAGCCCCGTCTGTCAACTGGCGGATCATGACTTCGGACCATCCTAGCTCTCTTCAACAGGACAACACCTTCGAACTTGATGGAACCGTTGATAAGACCCTTACTTCCCCCCCTCTGTGCCAGCCACGAGGTCTCTTCACCTGCTACCTTTCCTCGACACCTCTCCCCTCCCCTGACTTACTCTTGCTTCTGCATGTGGAAGTGCCAAATGTCGGCGAATGGCTACCGCGTCCTCCCTCCGTGCAGCGCCACAGAAATGGTCTCTGAATGACCTCAGCTCCGAGCTGCTGGCTCTCATCTTTGAGCAGGTAGGTTTCTTGGTGCGGTTGCCAAAGCTTCATTGGCTACGTCAATTCTCTTAACCGGCAGTTGCTTACGAATATCTTCCAGCTCCGAGAAATAGACGAGCGCGCCCTTGCTACTGTGCGGTGCTTGTCTAGACGCTTTGAGGCTATCGCAACTCCGGTCACCTATCGCACGATTTGCCTCAACGAGCGCATTGTTGCCCCAGATGCCGAATCGCGGTATCCTAATCTCTTGCGCAATGTGTCGTCCTACACCAATCACGTCGTCACACGGAGCGATCTTGACCCTGACGGCATTCGGCGGGTACTGGACAGGGTCCAGAGGCTAAAGACTGTGCGGTATGCTACCATTGGTATTCGCAGATTTTGGAAGCAATTTGCTGACGATGCTTCTAGGTGGCACTATGTCGATGCTGAATTCCGATCAGGACGACTCTGGCTCCCGTCAGACGTGCTCAACCCCCAGCAGACACGATTTAACGGCACGAAACTGTTCGTCGAGGACTTGCCCCTGCGAGAATTCGAGGGACAACTACGAGACACCTACGTCCGAGCGATTCCCACAGACCTTCTTGTCTCGCTCAAGCTTGCGAGCCCCGCCCCGCCGCTCACGACACGATTGAATTCCCTAAAACAGCTGCTCCTGCTCTCCCGCCGCCTAGAGATATTCCATTACGAAGACCGTGGGCAGGGAACGAACTTCAAGTTTGCCCAAGGAGAGCGCATGCCCCCGCTGAAAGATTTAGCCCTCAAGTCTTACGACTGGAACCATTCGAGGGAGGACACCCGTGCCCACTGGGACTTTTCTCAGCTCGAGTCGCTCGATCTGAAATACGTGCCCGTCTTCAACTTCCTGTCGACTGTGAATTTCAATGACTTGGCGGGCTTACGACAACTACACTGCGAAGACTTCAGTGCCCACCTAGTTGACAAACGAGACGAAGCAACGGGCGGGTTGTACCTACTAGTGGCTAATCACATTCGGGCTTTGCAGACCCTTAATGTGACGTGCCATGTCCGTCTTTTCCCGCTGGATGGCATTTTGAGACATGGCGAATCTCTACAGGTGCTCAAGTTCCGTGATCATATGGGCTTCGGAGAGGAGGACCGACGGTGCCCAACGCTCTGGGGCGAGGATATCGCAATTTTGGCGCATGGTCTCCCACATGTGCACACGCTGGAGCTGGATATGGACGTGGCCATGTGCGACCCGACAGAGTTCCTCCGCGCCCTGTGCAGTTTCCGCAGCCTTCAAACAGTTACACTACACGTCCAGACCGTTCTCCACGCCCTCGAGGTTGTTCATCCAGGGATGGACCGCGACTACGACGCGGCCTTACGCACTTTCCAGTTTCTGCTACGAGAGAAGCAGCTCGCAACGCCCGACGTACCCTGGAAGCAAATCACGATTAATGTAGGCGGATGGCGCAAGGTTATGGTCCGTCGCTTCAGCGCCGCCTGGCGTCGCCAGAATGAAAACGGCGTGTATGCCGAGCGGTGTTTTGTGCTAGAGAAGACTGAGAACGGACAAATGTCATACCGAGAAGAGATGAGCATCGAAGGCCGCTCAGCAACACCGACGCCCGATCCTCCGACACCGAATATGGACACCGAATACGACTAATAAGGGCGAGAAAGGTGCTACGGACCACGTTCGCGTTGCGAGGAACGAGAGCAAAAGACATACAGAGAGAACGCATGAGATACCAGGAGGGACAAAAAGATTACAGCAGGAAGGCAGAAAAACTACTGGAGGCACTAGCATATAGATGGAGGAGACTGACGACGTCAGCACTCTAATCTTAATGATACCAACGATGTTATGACCATGCATCACTCGCAGCCATCCCATCGCATCACAAGTGCATGTTCCTGCAGTTTCTTGCAGATGGTTTTCTGTATTCGCCATGGCTCCAAACCGTGGGATGTGCGTGCGTACTTGAATTGAATCCTGGATCGGGTATCCAGAACGCAGACGCACCGCTCAGCCGAGCCACATACGGCAACAGAGTTCATCACTCGTGACGTGTCAGGACCCCTTCCCCTCCACCCCCCATCCCCATCACCCTCTCACCCCAGGAATAGTAACCCATCTCCAATCGGGTATCGTTCGCGACTTGGCCCTGTGAAGCACGGGGCAGCTGGGTGAACCCGCGTGGCCAAAAGCGGGGGGGTGAGTGAGTCGCTGGAGAGTGAAGTCGGGGCTTGACGGACGTTTTTGAATGAAAATTGCGAGCGATTGTGGATGGGGGGCATAGAGTATTCAAGCTAGTGGTATCCGGAGATGAGGGAGGGGGGTTTGATGAAAGAAAGCCGAGAGACATTATCACTTGTCGGGTGTTTGCATCGCGGTTCGTCTGGCGGGAGGACGCTCATCGAAGCAGGGAACCAGCGTTCTGCATCGCGGGGTTGGCTTCCAGTCTTCCGTACGTCTGGACGCTTGAAGAAGGGACACCAGAAAGCGGCCTCACAGAGTGGTTCAAATGAGGATGAGAAGCCGGCGGATGTGTAAATACCACAGTGCTACTCAATGGCATCCCATCGATCCCCATGATGCAGATTCTCAATTGAACAGACCTGGGACACATCTCTCAATCGCACCCGCTCATTTCCCCCCGGGCCTCTTGGCCAAAGGTAAGCATGGGCAAACCCGAGATTACACCCTCCTTTCGGGGTCGCCAGGGGTTTGCGGGAGGGTCGGGTAGGTCCTCCCCCACCCCGGCCCTCCCCCCGTTCCGCTCCGTTTCCCCGCAATTCTCGCGTAGCATCACACCGAATGAGCCCCAGTCCCGGTGAAGCTGTCAGGTGAACTCTATCTCACCGATGCACAGACCATGTCTCTTCACCTCGGTAAGAGACGCAAGATCGCGACCTCACCTTGCACCACACCTTGCTCACACCGAGAGGGGAGAGACAGAAGAGGAGACGTGGGCAGAAAAAACCAATGATTAAATTTGAAGATTCCAGTAGATTATTTGAGTCTTGGAGATGTGCGGTACGTGTTTCATCTTTGTCCTCCGAGGCTGCGGTGGTTGCTATGCTCCTAATAACGCTGAATGTGTTACGGGTAAAACACAATTTTGTTAGCAGGCATGAAGCTATCTTGAAGAGGGGTGGGCTAGTATGAATGTTAAAATTCCTCTAGTGACTCTGATCGGGCAAATTAGTTCACGTACAGTCACTTTAAGTCTTTGGGCTGACTGAAATCCATCGACCCCCCGAATCCTGTGCGAGAATCCTGGAACCAAGGAAGTGTGAATACACTTATGTCTCAAAGAATTTGAAGCCATGTTCCGCAGGTAGAATATCAGATCATCCCGAATTCCGCACTGGGACTCTCCGAGACCTTCCTGCTCAGCTCTGTCGGCGCTTTAGCTCGTTCTTTCGTATCATGGTTCTCGAGATCCAGCAGCCGCTTTGCGCACCATTGGACTTTAGCAGAGTGGGAATGAAATTGCTACTGGCAAGAGGATTTAACCACGGTCTCGCTTGAGAGGCACTATGGGCGGTCGCAAATGTCTGTGGAAAGGAGTAGAAATATAGTAGCAAACATCCCAAAAACCTACCTCGCTGTTGTGGTAATCGAGCCGTCGGCTGATTGATCATGAACGAAACCAGTACGCTCAATAATAGTGCAGGCCTAATTTGCCAAGAAATCTTTTGCAAATACGTCGGACGCAGCCTTGCATAGTTCGTCCGGCCAAGATTCTGAGGAGCATCATGGTTTGACCAGATCCAGCAGAGAAATCACCCTAGGTCCCCAAAGTGGATGCTATTCTCGAGTCCGCCAAGGCTGCGTTGGAACCGCGGAAGAGCTCCCTGCGCTTACACAAGCACTCGCTCGTTTGAATTCCAGTTTCTATCTGTGTCTCTGGCCAGTCATGCCTCTTGTCCGTCGATCGAGGGTCTGTACCAAAAGCATCGTCATCAAAGAGTGATTGTATCGAAAGCCTCGCAAGACCATGGCTCCACACCGTGTGAAGCTACCAGGTCCTGTGACAGATTGATGGTCAAACATGGCTATCGCCGTCCGAAATCATATGTGGCGAGACATCGCGTGCCTTTGGGAAATCGGCCAAGGCCGGAAGCTTCCTGGGCTGGCTGAAATCGTCTCCGTGTCTTACATTCCAAGGGGGGTGTTCGAGTGGAAGTACGCACGCCACCGGGCCGTCTGCGTAGAGGAACGAAACATGATTCCCGGGAATCTGGTCGAGTGGTTGACTAGCTTCCGCCAGGGGTACACCAGAATGAATAGTAAGACATGTTCCAGCCGCGCCGCCCTCGCTTAGCCCTCTGGAGTGTATTCGAGCCCGGATGGTCCCGCGGATAAAATGCCTTCGTATTTTCCGCTGTGCGATTTCGTGCAACGCTTGGCTGGGCGAGAACTCTGTTTTCGCCGTCAGTACAAGCAACCCTAACCCTGAGAGGTACGACGAAAAAGGTGGATGGAGAAGGGTGAATGACGAATCTCGAGGCTCTCCCACAGCAAAGCCTCAATCCGATTACTTTTGTTCTCTGCAGTTCCCCCACCTCTACACACACACCCTTGTGCCGCAAATCCACGAGGCAGTAGGTCAAGACTGGAGACCGAGACCGCAACTGGAGACCGAGACCGCAACTGGATTAGCAAACCATGGGATGCTTTGGGCTGGCTGAGCGCGGATCTGGCCCGTCCCGAATCTTCTTTCTCCTCCGCAGACTGCGCGGATGGCGTGGAATGTATGCGGCCATGACACCTCGATAGGCCCCCAAGGGTTCTAGGTACAGGCCAGGTCTTGGCCAAGCGTAATTACTCGGATTGCTAGGGCCCGGCAGGTCGGGTCGCGGAACGGCAGGAAGATTTCGCAAGACTCGGATGGCTGACCTAGCCAGCAGGGTGCTCCGGCTCCCTCAGCTGACTTGAGACGGTTGACAGCCTGACGGTAGTTGGTAGGTCTCTCCTTGGAATGTTGGCGCTGAAGTTATTGTTCCCTGGTAGCTTCTCGGAGTCACCTGCCATCATGTTTGGTTTTGGGGATGCGGTAGGCCGACAGATTCGATGAAGGCATGAGTCTACTACTCGTCGTGTTCTCGATTCGCTTTTGTTCAAGGATAGAATGAGGTTTTGTCGAATTGTGAACAAAAGTTTGACGTTTCGGTAGGAATGACAAACAATGAATGGAGGTCAATTGAGATCGGCAAACGTTCCCTGGCAACCTGACGAGAGGCATTCAAGGGAGGTCAGGCCATGGCTAACGGTGACGGGGTAGATTGATGGGGAGGGAGAGACATTTTGGCTGCCTGTCTCTTCTTTCCGTCTGTTTGCAGCTGCACAAACGTCCCGTCGGTGCTGCATCGATTTGACTCAGTTCGTATATACGTGCGGGTATGCTTCCCGGTCGATACGGATAAATGCAGAGACATGCGTGTAGCGACATCAGACAGGTTGTCTCAAATGTCAGCGCCGTCAGTTGTCTCTCTCTAAACCTGTTGTCTATTTGGAGACTTGTAAGCTGATGGGATGCGATCAAGGGACGAAGCAGGACCTTCTTGTCGGGCTCTTGTTGTACCAGGCCTGAGGAATGTTCGACTGGCCATTGAAGTATGTCGGTGCCCACTCAAGGCTTCAGCTCGAATTACGCTGACGAAGATTCGTGTAGAACAGAAGCTCGCCCTAAAGAGGGGCCTTGACGCGTTTGAATACCAACGTCATGTTGATGTCAGGGATAGGTCGAGTTGGAAACAACACCACACTCCACTCCAGACGATACCACAAGACGAAAACAACACTGGTAATAGTTGTACAATGATTGTTTCTGCTCCCAGCACAGGATGGGTGAAATCAAGAGTATGCAGTGGGCTATCTGCACACCGAAACAAAAAGCTTGAAGATACTACTCGTCACGAGTCGAGCACCAAGGTTTGTTTCTCGTCGCATAAACTAATAGAAAGATGCAGTGCCACGAGCTCAGCGCAGTTGACTTTCCGTTCCCAGCCAGCACATTGACCTGCTTTTGCCTTAGAACTGTTGTACTATTACCAGCTTTCCCATTCCTCGGTAGTCCTTGCTCTCCCGCCTTCCTCCACGGCCGTTCATCTGTTTCGTCCTCAACCCGGCGCGCCCCAAACGTTCGTACTTTCCACAACGACACGCCATTCAGCCGGTTCGGGAAAGCCTCAATGTACATCTTACCTTTGCGCAGCACGGGAAGGGCAGGCTGGGAAACCAGTCAAAGTCAGGTACGCAACAGCGTCGCCGTTTTCGGTCAGCAAGCCGTGTCCTAAGTCTCCCCTCACACCCCCTTTCCACGTTCCCGCTCTACCGTCATCTTTCTGGTACTCCGTCTGACTTTCGCATTCGTATCTCCTCTTCCTCCCATTTCTACTCTCGTCTCTGTCTCGGGCGCCCCAGGTTTTCCCGTTGTCGACACCCTTTAAGTTCAGAGGTCAAGTTTGACTGTACGAAGCCGCACAGTCCCTGGATCAGCGCGACGCATGTCAGATCGCCGGCTTGTCCCGGGGTATCAGTCTGTATACGGTCAACGGCATATGCAAAACCCATCCATGTCTGGAGGCGCTGACGGCCGCATGACTCTGAGACCATGTGACATTTTCCGAACCGCCTCACACAAGCTCTCAAACCAAACCAGAGAAATGGGAAAGATGGGCCAGGACAGCCGTTTATATCACGCACCAATATGTTTACGGCCAGGGCACACTGCATCTCGACCTTTTCAAACTCGACGATCGAGGCAGGGCCTGAACGGACGTACCTTGATGCTTCCGGATGGACAGTTGCCCTGCAAGATTGCTGCACGTCAGGATGTAACCCAAAGGTATATCCGAGCATCTCAAGGCCAGACGAACCCCACGCCCCCCGACCCGCCCATCGTCTGTTTGTGAATAGGAACATTTCCCCCTCTTTCTCCCCTTCGGTGGTCCCGGACCATCAACGCTGGCTGTCGCTTGGTATCTTCTGCCTCGAGTGAGGTATAGGTACTTGTTGATGAAAAACGATCAGATCCACCGCTTTTCCTTCGTTTCCCCGTCCCTGCCCCTCCTCCATGTCGGTGTGCGCACCGCAATATCCCACTCCCTATGCCTCTGCATCCTACTCCTTCCATACTTTCTCCGCTTCTCGATTTCTGCTTTCCCTGTTGTCTTGAACATTGCACACCGTCTATTTCACTCCCAACATCGCCAAGATCAGCCCCCTTTTCTCCGGATGAAGCAGAGCCACTGGACACCATGATCTATGAATACTAGTGCTGGACCGTCGGCAAATCAGGCCATCGCTCCCAGCCCGCTCCGTACCGTCAGATAGAGTGTCTCGATCGAAATCTAGCCTCTTTCTCACTTTGAACCTCGCTAGCAACCCGCTTGGCCCATCGTCACCGCCGCCACCCCTCCCGAGTGTCCTAGGAGCCAGGTGGTCGACCGACGGGCGCTCTACTACGAAGCCTTTTCTAGCTTGTTTTTTCCCTTTGTCTTGACAGCGTTCGGCAAGCCACTCCCTTCTCTTCCGTTGAAACCTGCCCAGAACAACGTGTGTGGGCTGCTGAAAATTAGCTTTCATCACATCACAGGTCCAACGCCATGGACGCTTGTAAAAAGCCTAGACCTTTGAGAATCGAGCCCTCGTCCCTCTATCCAGGTATACCTTTGCAACGCTGCGCCAATAGTCAACTTGTACTTCTCAGCCCCCAGCCCTCCTTCCATCCCCTCCTTTACGCGCAAACGAAGGCCGTATGCTAAGCTACTAGGGGTATCTTTATGTCGATGCAAATGTGTTTGCAGTATTTGTATACTCCAGGACGAGAGGTGTTCTCTTTTCGCAGCATGTCAAAGTGCGAAGCACAATGGTCCCGCAGGGGTCGCGGGCCAGAAAGTGTATGAATTCGACGCAACAAGGAGGGACATGACACTGACGAGCCCACCTCATCTCTCTTGCCGGCGGCTTATCTCCCTTCAGCTGGCTTGTTCACCGTGCCCCGTCTACCCCTCGGCCCCATCAACGGCCGGTGCCTACTGTTAGACAGGCAGGCAGGCAACTCCTTTCTTCGCCAACCGGCCTACTGGCCGACCGGCAAGGAACTTGGATCTTGAACCAAGGCACCTAGCCGGGCTACGAGGCATTCAGGGACCTCATCAGTGGTGGTATGTTCCCTGTCTTGCGTTAGTACATTGGGTCGCCGCGCACTCTCTCCGCCTCCTCTGCCCAATGTCGCGCAAGCCCGACGGCCCAAAATCCCTAGCGTTGCTGCAAAGAATCGGCATCATGTACTCTTGGGGCTCGCCGTTGAGAAAAGGCTGCAAAAGCTGCAAAGGCTCGGGCACACTCACACGCTTACCAACGGACGCAAGGACGCTGAGTCTGACATCTCTCTGCTGCGCTCCGACCTCGCCTGACCTGCATCTATCAAGCCCAGACTTCATGTGAGTAATTAGCTGCCAGACAAACCCCAGACAACGCCCAGTCCATGGGTACCGCCATAAGCGGCCGTCTGCTCTTTTGACCGGATCGAATCCTGCCCTGCCCTACGTTCCTTCTCGGCGAGAGCGTAACGAGGTAGGCGCGTGGGTGTACGTGTGTATGCACGCTCGCGGCTTGCGCTTTGTTTGTCTCCTCGTCACGAGCGATTTTTTCATATTCCTTCAACCTCGTCGAGTCATCTTCCA